TCACTCAGAGCGTTATAGTTCCACACGACATCGCTTAGGATTTGTTGCTGCGCGTTTGCGCAGTGTGAAGGAAAGGAGACCAGTTGCACAGACAGGCTGCGAAATAAGATGCGGGTGATCGGTTTGTGTGATCGGCAACAAGAGACCGTGATCGGCGAACACCGATCATACACTTTTTCACGGAAATCGGCCGATTATGATCCTAAGGAGTTTACAAAAAGTTCTCATTCCCCATGTGTGTGAAGCTGATGGAGACAAAAAACTTCCAGCTGTCACTGCAGTAAAAGCTGCTTCTATAAAGTGTTGACCCGGGACAGCATTTTTATCTGCAGAAAATGTTGAAGTCCCTTATGTATTTCATGCCTTGCATTTCAGCTGTTCCCACAGAAGAATGAAGCAACAGTATAACTGTTCTGTAAACCAATCAGCTGACATCTTATCATCTTGTGCTGCAGTTTTTATTTTTGAATTTTCAGCTTTGATTTAGAAAATTCCTGATGGTGCATCAAACTTCTAAAAGATTTAGAAGATTTTTTTAAAGATTTTTTAACTTTCTTTGCATTTTTTTAAATCTAAATTTCTGATTTGATAGTTTTTTTTCCCCTCTGCTTTCAAAATCCTGCTTCAGTTAGTTTTTTTAATCTTTATTCTGTATCTGTGTATATTTTGTTTAAAAAAAAAAGCTACAGATATTGACAGTTCCCCCCACTCTTCGACATATTTTGACATTTAAGTGCACAGAAATTGTTTAATATCAGCATATAAGTTTGTTTTGCTCATATTTCTAATCCTTGTCATAGGAAACAAGATCAAATATAACCATGATTCTTTTTTATAAAAAAAAAAAAAAAAAGCTTCTCTCCAGTAGAGTAATAATTATTTTTGCAATGTTAAATGCTGGTGTGTTTCTCCTTGGAGAAAGCTTGGATGTGATTTTATGAAAAGTTTAAAAAGAGTTTTGGAATGAGTCGTCAATCAATCAAAGTTCTGAACTGTCAGCAGAAATGTTGCTTCACCATTCAGCAGTTTGTGTTTTCCTCCAGGTCAGGTCAGAGGTCACCATGCGGATTCTGAGCGGTCATTTTTTCTCTGCTGTCTCCCCACAGACGAGCCGTCGCAGCGGCAGACTGTCAAGGTTCTCAGCTACCCACAGTACTGCCGCTTCCGCTCCCTGCAGAGACGCATCCAGGACGGAGCCAGGGGGCCCGCCCTGCAGGACACGTACCTGTTGGCCCTCGGGGCCATCAAGGTTCTGCCTAACGTCAGGGTGATGTACTGCAGGGACACCTTCAACCACCCGACACTGGAGAGCAGCGCCTGCTTCTCCTGGCAGTTCAGTGAGTGAAACTGGAAATCTTCAGAGGCGCCACAGCTTGAAGAAACATAAGCAGTTTTTTTTCTACTGCTTATGCAGTAGTAAAATAGTTGTTTTTAATTCATTCTGTTTGTATAGCGGCAATTAGCAACAACAACTCATTTCAATTCAAAAACACATTCATTCCAGTTGATCCTAGTTATCAAACAGTACATTAATCTCAATTTATTGTTCAAATTAGTTTAAGAAGTTTCTATCTAAAGAAATCCAGCGGATTACATTGAGTTACTGACTTGCAGCATTCATATGTCAGCCAGTGCCCTCATCCAGGAAGGTAGCGCAGTTAAAACAGAACACCAGACCAGATGTAGCTTCTATGGAGAGCAAATAACAAAGAAAACATCAAGTTCACAGTTAAAATAACAGAATAATGCAGGTTGGAGAGTCGCAGAAGAAAGTACCAGAGTGAGGAAAAGTGGCCTATATTCTGTGTTAAATATACCATTATTGTTCTTATGTAATATCCTGAGAAACATTTTCAATAAAATTTGCATGAATAAATGTTTGAAAATTACCTTTTCAACAATATTTAACAATAGGGCTGCAATTAACAACTATTTTCGTAATTGTTTATTCTGGCAATTAATCAGATTTTTAAAAATTGCCATATTTTACACATTTTTCATTTGACCTCTAATTCCTTTTTTATACAATATTAGAAATGCAATAAAGGATGCTAAGAAACAGTTTTATTCATTTTTAAAATAAGAAAATAAACATTTTATTGCCTAAAGTGGAATAATATAGGATTCTGTTAGTAAATATGAACCGGGTGAAGTTGTAACTATGCCATTTGTGGAATTTGGGGTAAAATATATTCACATGCAAATAAGTTTTTATCTTAAATTCAAAATGTATTATTTTGTATAGTTTTGCTTAACTACTTCTCTGTGTATGTTTTTTTTCAACAAATGGCTTTTTTTAGTCTATTTTATCATCTATTACTAAATTAGTTGACAATTATTTCAACAGTCAATTAATTGGATTAATAATTTCAGCCCTGTTTAACCAGCTTAACCTCACCACCATGTTAATGATTAAAAGATTCAAAAAGTCACTTCCTTCCTTACAGCCTGTCTGTGAAACGCTGCCCCCTGCTGGACGTCTTAATTAAATGTTTTCTTTTAGATTCTGCAGTACATTGTTATTGTTTTTAAAAGTTTGTCGTCATCGTGTCCCTCTCCTGCAGGGTGTCCATCTCTGAGTCTCCGAGGACGACCTCGTAAGAGGAAAGGTCGCGACAGCAAAGACTCTCCGACCTCGGGCCAACCAGAGTCCTGGATCGAGAAGATGAAGGTCAGTGTGTTTTTGTTCTAGAACCTTTCTCCGCTATCTGAACCTGAAGCCTTCATTGAGTCCAACTCTGTTAGAATCTAACATCTTCTGCTAATTTTTCCCTTCCAAAACCTGATAAAGGGACAGGAGTTCAGGGAGAAGTTAGACCAAGAATTAGTTTCAGAAGTCAAAGCAGATCAACTCCACTGATCCTTACTGTTGTTGTTGATCACAAAATATTAACAGAAAAGATCTGAAGATGTGGGTGAAGCTGATCCTCACAGTGTTTGATACTGAACCCACTCCATCCTCACTGTGTTTCTCTGAAAATATGGAAGTTTATTCAGGAAAGTTTAACAAAGTGGGACTTCAACAGAAAACTGTATAAATATGGACTGACTCAAGCCGTCCTCCTTTTCCTTCTCTTCCTCCTGCAGGAGAATGTGATGGGCAGCGTGGAGGTTGGCTGTGAGGGCAGCTGGCTCCCCCATCCAGAGGAGCAGCTGTTCCTGGATCAGCTCTTCGTTTTCATGGAGCGCCACGGATCGCCCATCCACAAAGTTCCCAACCTAGGTTTCAAGAAGAGTGAGTCCTCTGTTTTCCCTCCACTCTCTGCTTTGTTGTTCAGTTTTCTTTCACTCATTCAATAAAAATAATCTTCTATTGTTACTCTGGAATAGTTTATTTAATCCTTTTTTGTGTTGTCAATATTTTTTAAGTTCTTTTATATTAATTTTTTTGTGAAGCTGTCCATTTGATTTGTCTTTTTCTTTTACAAGTTTCTTATCTTTTACTTTTCAGCTTTTCTCTCCTAGTTTTATAATTAAAACATTTTTTTCTCTATGTCTGGTCATTTCGTCCCATCACCATTTTGCAGTCTGTATTGTTTTTAATTAACTTTTTGGTAACACTTTATTTGACAGGGTGTGGATAAGACTGACATAGCACGATCATAAACATGACTTAATAGTTGTCGTGAACATGAAGGAGTCTTTATGAATGTCTATGACTTTTGTCATAGACATTCAGTCATAGACATTCAAATTTCATGAAGTGTCATCCGTTAAATAATGACGCTTTAAATGCAGAGTTGCATTAAGACTTGTATTAAAAGTCCAATAAAAAGATCAGCTTTGCATTAAAAGTATCATTATTTACCAAATGACACTTCATGACAGCACTGGCAAACATTCATGAAGACTCCTTCATCTTCATCTTAAGTCATGTTTATGACAGTGTTATGTGAGGCTTATCCGCACCCTGTCAAATAAAGTGTTACCAACTTTTTTTTTCCTGTACAAAAGTCTTCACACAATAATGTGCAAATGAATTAGCAAAGTTTTGAGTTCTTAGTGTTTTTAAAAAAAAAAAAATTCATAAAGTACTCATCTACCAAACAAAATAAACTAAGAATTGTTAGCTTTGTTTTTATTTTCTTTCCATGCATTATTTGTTTTCGTTAATTTTATTTTCTTTTTTTTCTTTCAAATTTCACTTTTTTTCCTAAGTGTTGTCTTTTTATTGATATAATAGAACATTTTCTTTTGACTTCAGTTTCCTTTTTCACCTCTTTATTTCTCTCCATTATTTAATTGCTGGTGTCGTCTATCTAAAAACATTAAAGATGCACTGGAGTCTCCGCCTGTGAATATGAACTTTCCATTTAGTATTAGAGGTTAAACCAGCAGAATTTTGATTTGGAAACATTTTTATTGATCATAGAGCTTAAAAATAAGTGTTATTGATGTGGATTCAGTAATTTTACAGTTTTACTACAACAGAAAAATTACAGATTTACTGAGCTGAACCTGGTTTGCATTTTTGACCTGTTTCTGCAGTCGACCTGTTCCTCATGTATTCGGTGGTCAAACGGCTTGGTGGCTACAAGAAGGTGAGCTTGATTTACCTTTGTTGACATTTTGTTGAAAAAGCTGAAAAGATTCAACAGTGAACCTCTGATAGACTTTCAAAACATCTGAACAACTTCAAAATAAAAACTTCACAAATCTTTAGAATCCAACATGTTGCAGCAACATTTGAGTCAACAAAAACCAAAGTCAAAGATGATCAGATCCCTGGAGGATCTCTGGTTATTGTTGTGTGTATGTTTGTATGTCAGGTAACTTCAGACCGCCTGTGGAAGGTGGTGTACAACGAGCTGGGCGGGTGTCCAGGCAGCACCAGCGCAGCTACCTGCACCAGGAGACACTATGAAAGGTCGGACAAACAAACCCCCCCTTTGTCCTGACAGCCTTCCTCAGGATCCAAAACCAGGAACGCGTCCACTAAAACCTCTAAATGTCGTGCGTGTTTTCAGACTGATGCTTCCATACGAGGAGCACCTGAGAGCTGGAGGAGGAGCAGAGTTTAAGATCCCCGATGTGCCGCTGCCTTCCAAACCCAGAGGAATACGAGGACGCAAACCTCTGCCCAGAGGCAGGAAGCCTGGACCCAAACCCAAGAGGAGGACGGGGACGTTGTCGCATGCAGCTCCGCCTTCTACTGTGAGTCACACACTGAAGGGTCAATTCACCCAGTCTCAGGTTCTGCTGTTATTTTTATCCTATTTCTGTTCTTTTCAAAAGCTAAAAGCACAGCTGATCAAATCAAAACTTGATTTGATTCTTATTAATTATAACAATCGTTATTAATTAGTAAATACAGCAAGGTGTTGCTGCGTTTCCAATACAAAGCTTTTTCAATTTTCTGCTGATATTGGAAAAAAACATTGCTGTTTCCCTTAGCAATGGTGTTGTTTCCATTATATAAGAAACAATTAATATCAAAAGTGTTGATGGAAGCAGCATATAGCTTCATTTGAATACGTTTTATTGATTACAAGACATTTTTAAGTTGCTACATTAAAAATCTATACAGTGTCATCAAGTTTTTCTGTAGGAAAATAGATAAGTGTGTTTGTTTCTTGTTAAAAGTAGAGTGACTCAAACTGACAAAGTTTTTCTCTCATCAAAGGTATTTGGTTTAATAGCTACTTCAGACAAACATGGCAGATCATTTTGAATAACTCTTCTCAATATACAACATGCTTTTTTCTTAGATTGTAATCATTTTAGCACTCCTATTTGCTGACATCATTTTTTGAACCCACCAGAGAACCAACATTTTCCTTTTCTCCTTTTGTCCTTGAACAGATTCTGAGTCCAAACGGTGCCATGGTGGTGAAACGAGGCAGAGGCAGACCGCCAGGAACTCGTAACAAATCCACGCTAATTGCTCAGGCCAAATTGCTGGCTCAGCAGCAAGCAGCAACCAAACCAGCAGCAGTAGTGGAGCTAAAGCAACACAGTCTTCTGGTGCCCCCTGCAGGCAGAGGAGGACCGACACCCAGCAGCACACACCGGGTAAAAGTCCTGATGCTGCTCTCATTTCTGTTTCCCTTAGCAAAGCCAGACTTTTTGAACCTTTAGGTGTTTTAAAGGTTTGGAAAGTGTTTAATATTCAAACTGCACCATTTTATAATAAAGTTGCAATCTAACATTTGATTAAAAGCCTAAATTTGGAGAGTGTTGAAACCAAATACTTAAAGATAATAAAACACACATTTTTTCCCACCGTCTGAAGTGAAATCAGATCAAAATTCTCTTGTTTCAAGTCAGTTAAAGTACCAAAATTATTTCTTTTTGCTAAATGCCAGAAAACATAGAACTTTTTTTGTAACTTTCTTAGGTACATGTGGTGTGTGTGACATTTTGAAACATAAAAGTTTGTTAGATTTTAGTTTACCTTGTTCCTGCGGTAGAATGTAGAATATTATCACAAGACAGTAATAATAATGATCTCATAATAGTGAATAATGAAAAACTAGGGCTGCAACTAACAATCATTTAGTAATCTATTAATCTGTCAACTACCGTATGTTCCGCACTATAAGGAGCACCTAAAAATCTTCAATTTCCTCAAAAGTCAACAGTGCTCCTTATAATCCGGTGCGCCTTACGTATGGACAAATATTGAGCCACAACAGGTCTAGCAACCAGGTCTAGTGGGTGGGGAGAGAGAGAGAAGAGAGAGACAGAGACT